GGGGGGGGGGGGGGGTTGGAAGAGAGGGATGGTGGGATGGAGAGATGGAGGGAGAGGGGGGGACAGAGAGAGACCGTGCTCAGTGAATTTCATGCAATGCAGAGCCTTAACTAAATGAGATGGGGGGGATTTAGGCCCCGGATTTAGAGTTTAGCACCACATGTGTACACTTTCAGCAACAAGGACACGCAGAGAAAGGCGACTAAAAGAGGCCTATACATGGTAATAATAATGCCTGTGTGTAATATTACAATCATTAACATCAGGACTATCAGGTATAACTCTCACTCAACTGCACATGCACAACATACAAATGTATTTCCACCCATATGATCTTTATCTGAAAAACACCGGTCTGCATTATAGCAGCAGACAGCGAGAACCTCCAGTATCTGAGCTCTCATACAGCCTATTTTTGCGCTCGCCACACCGTGGATCGACTCCACACAAAGCAACCACACCAACCGAGAGATTTGGTAATGTCTACCTATTTTGACACATCCTCGGTATCCAGCAAAACACCGTCGCTCGTGTGTGATTTCACACCGAGGAGGGGGGCTCAGCACTGCTGGGCTCTACACCGTTTTGGTGTGCAGTAACCGGAGACAAAGGGGACTGTGCGCCTTTGGATAGATCACTTGTGACATTAATGGCTCAGGGGAGCCTAATAGAGACAATAGGAGTTAAACGAACTCTTGAGATTACTAATATAAGAAGCCAATTATCATGTTGATACGCAGATAGACAGACTTAAAAAAGAAAGAACGGAAAAAAGACAGAAAAGGAAAGAAAGAAAAATCGTTCCATATCTTATCTAGTGAGCTCTAATTTGACCTGACAAAACGCTTTTAAACCTGACCATGAAAAAAGTCCCCTTAACAATATAAATCAAACAATTTTTTTTATTTTTTTATTTTTTACAGCAAATGAACAAAAAAAAAATTCCAAATATTAAAGCTGTGGCCAAACCAGCCAGTGATTTTTATTTCTTCCGAGTTTTGATTCCCTCTCCAAAGATTATCCAAAGACTATCACCATGCACACACCAGGCCTGTGCTCCATCCAGCGGCACCAACTTCCATATTAAATTTGACCATGCAGTGTGATTGCAGCTATTGGCTTTCACCACTTAAGTGTCAGGGTCGTCTATATAGGCCTGTATCTTTGACCATCAATACCACGGGCCTACAAAGCCCACCAGCTCTACTCATCTCCCCGCTGCTCTGAAACGCTGACAGTAAATTCCATCAGCGAGAAAAAAAAAGACAAAAAAGGTGCAGCCAGTTTGATGCACTTGGAAACCATGTAATGAAAAATAGGCTACTGCGTATTAGGATCAGTCAGGCATTACCGCATTGCATCGAGTTCTCTCGAGCAGAATGGTGAATGATGTGTGTGCGTGCGTGCGTGTGTGTGTGTGTGCAGCTTGCAGAAACATGCATGATATCTCGGAGGAAATTGCTTACCTTTTTTAATTACAGTCTGGTCGGGAATGTGGATTCCTTGATCCTCAACAGACTGTGACACGTGCAAAAAAAAAAATAATAATAAAAAATTAGACAATTTTAGCACAAAAGGCACAAAAATATCAGCCTCAGTCCTGTGCCAGTGAATGCAACTCAGGATGCTGTGCACGAACAAAGCCTGACACAATTAGCCACAATCACCCAACATGGACGCTCCCGAGGCCCATACCTGTTATTATTGTCCACGAGTGTTTTCAGCGGGTTGCACTGATGGACGCGTTACACTAGATCACAAACTCAGACTTAAATAACGAAGCTGTGTCGCCCCATAATCCTGACCTAATTTCGCCCACAGATTGGCTCCACTCACAAGGAAACTTCTAATCTAGATTGGATAGTAATTACGGCAGCGCAGCCTATTAAAGGCCTATGAACTAATTAGAGGATTATTGGTGTTTGTTTCTGATTTACCAAAAAAAAAGAGGAGAAAAATTGGGAAGAATCCTCCAAATAAGAATGAGGGTTATTTACAATTTTAGCGCTCATTTATCATGCATCTTTAGCACTCGCAGCTATTACCTAAACCCAATCCAGCAGGCTCAATTCTCCTGTCAGTGTGCATGCAGTGTATTAGTGTTATTGTTCGCAAAGGGCGGCGAGCCTCATCTTCTTTTAAACTGAGAAATCAAATAAAGTCGGAGGACGTGAAGGAAAGCGTGTGTTAATACAGGCGCTTTGGTTTTTTTTTATTTTCAAATCTATTAAATTTAATTCGATTGAAGTGATAATCTTGAAGAAAACCACATCGAATTTGGCAACTAGCAGCACTCATGAAAAGTACATTTCATAAAAGGAATTAAGGATGTAAAATGGTGCTGTTTTATTTAAAATAATCTTGACAACACTGGGAAATAAATTCTCTATTCTATTTTTCCATACAGTTAAAAAATGGCTGCATGAAGAGACTAACTAATTTAATGCCTGTCACTCCCCTGGCGCTTATTAAACAACAGAAATAATAAAAGCACTTTTACTAATAGCCTAAAAATATTAAAACTAAAAGTTATTATGAAATGTATGGTGCTTGAACAAATGGTAATAATAATTCTATTGAAATACAAATAGCACCAGTATCGTTATTAGTATTAATAATTACTTTAAAATAAATAAGTGGTGAGCAAAAGTGCCTACAATTAATAATAACATACATTTGACCCTTTTATTTGGGATTTTCTGGAGTAAAGCCACAAAAAGAGAAACGCAGGTCAAAGCTGTCTCACCTGAACGTCTTCTAAAGAGTGAGGTATTCCATGGATAGGGATAGAGTCCGACAGTCCCGTGTCGATGCCGTGGCCGGACGGTAGGAGCACTTCCCTGCGGTACTCCCGGCACAGCTGGTGGGGCAGGCTGCGGTGCTGGTGCAGCAGGCCGCTCTCCTGACCCTGCCTCTGGCCCGGCCAGCCCGGGTGCTGCGGCTGCGGCTGGGCGTGCAGGGAGTTGAGGGAGTACGGGTCGTTGACGTGCGAGTAAGGGTCCTGAGACTGCGGGTAGATGGGCTGGTAGGGCGGGGGGAAGTACGGGGGCTGGAAGTCCGAGTTCGGTGTGTGGGAGAGCGGAGGGGCGCTCGTGTAGGGACTCTGGCCCACGCCGCCCAGCTGAGGTAGCCTGGCTGTCCCATTGCTGGTGCCGTCGTGACGGTCCTGGCAGGGAAGGACAGAAAGAAAAGTGTATTTTAGACTCAATACATTTTTAAAAAAAAAAGACACAACCATGTATTAACGTATTTTGCTCCTTTGTTTTAGCTGCAGGATGCTCTGCGGGCTTGCGCTGGGGCATTATCAAATATGGCCTGAGTGGATGACAGGAATTAGACCAAGTGTGGAATCCATATTTAAATTAAAATCTGTGCTGATTCATTTTAAACAACAAAGACAACACATCCACACGTCGACTCCTCGTCCGCAAAGTTTTAGAAATAAAATAACAGGACAATAATTTGCTAAAAGTAAATAATAAAAAAATGAAACATCGAAATTCCGGAGGTGGAAATGCCCTCAAATCAATAACCGAGCCTCGCATTATTTCAGCTTTTTTTCCAAGGTCTCCCACAGTTTTAAATCATGCAAGCTTTTACAAAACATTATTCAGCGGGAGGGGGGAGGGGGGGTGGAGAAAAAATATATTATAACAAAATCTGATATGCAAACAAACTCGAAGTATCTGACACGGTGAGGCTCCAGCAACTTACCATCGCGGAAAAACTGTGCACTAACATTTTCTCGGTGCGACTCAAGAAAAGAATAATCAGTTCAAGAAAAAACAAACACTTGGCGTGTTCGAGGGGCAAGCAAAGGGAATTAACCAGCAAAACAAAAAAAACTGAACCCCCAGAAAAGACTCTTCTCTCCTGCAAGATCACGATGGCCCCGGCGATCAGATATGTGCCACAGCAGCAGGACGATAATCCATCAGAAATAAATGGTTAGATCCCCGCTGCCCTTCATTTGGGTCTAAAAAAAAATGCTGATATTCGGCGGTGCTGGCGGATTTGGGTCGAAAAGTTTCTCTTGGTAAAACCCTCTTTTTCTCCCTGCTCTCCTGGCTTCTATCACAGTGCTGCCGTCTCCTCGCTTGAGCTCATATTAGCCAAAGAGCCGCTTCTTCGTCTCCCTCTTGGACTCCTAATAGAACGCATTCATGACTATTAATATTACAGGAATACTTAATAATAAGGAAAGAATGGTCGGAAATCGGGCGTGAAGCGGAGGACGCAACTCAAGGCAGGAGTCTGCGCTTAAATGACGTCCATTGAAAGGAGGAATCAGTATATCTAATCAGAGATGGGGAGAGAAAGGTAGAGATCAGAGAGAGAGAAAGAGGGAGTGAGAGACTGTGAAGGGAGTGGAGAGAGAGAGAGACAAAAAGAGGGACGCGCAGTGAGAATTTCATGTTCTCTCTAAAAACAGGACAACAACAGGTGGAGGAAGCAAAGTTTAAGTTTGACTCAGGAGTAACATATTTTTGTTTTTATTTTACTGTTTATGCAGTTTAAGGAACAACATAATACAATATTTTTCCTTTGCTAAATTGCACCTCCGTTCATTTATTGCCAGTTTTTAATATTTTATGAACTAAGCCATCTTAATTCTTACTCGTACTTATATTTGTGTCCAAGGAAGGGTAAAACCACACCACATGGTTACCTTGCTTTAGTGTGGCACAATTTGTAGGCATGTACTTTCTGAGTTTTGTTTTAAAGAATGGCGAAATTTCACCTAATGCAAATGATAGCTGGACCCGTTACGGTTACTCTGTACAATGTATGGATTTGGTATAGGGTAACAAGCTTCAAAAGGGACAGCGTTCCCTGCAAAATATAATTAACTTAAGATTTGAAAACAGACAACGAAACAACAGTGGCTTTTGATTGTACCTTCATAGTTTCTTTAAACTAGGAAACCTTTCAAACGCATGTAATTAATAATAAGCAATAATAAAACTCGTCTTAATTGGTCCATTAAAGACCAAAGTGTGACAGCTTAGGCCGTACCCAGACCCATACAAAGTATGGCTATTGGTCACTTTTTCCCAGGTAGTGTTCTTTCTCGTCCACACCCGGAGTTCGTGCGCATGCGTCACCAGGTGGCCCCACACCGTTTTTATGGGCCAGGTGGAGGCGAATCCGCGGTTCCAGGTAAAAAGTAAGAGCTTGTACTTTGGGACCGAAGGCTCAATGAGAGGTAGACACGCACCGGATCGGCACCAAAAACCAAAACCAACGCACAACGGCAGCAAAAGATAAAGCAATGTCAATTATGGGCATATAATGGGGGGAATGGCAGGTATGTTTGGTGCTTTGCTTAACACAAGGCGCGAGAGGACGGGCTTTGGGAATCCAGTGAAAACTGTCAAAATTGGTCGACCTGGTTGTAGGGATGAGGCTGCACAGGCAGCGTGAACTGCTTTTGTAAAAAAGGGAGGGTGCCAACAGGTCCTCGTGTTCATCTAGAAGCTGTATATGTTTTTACCGACAGGATATCACGCAAAGGAAGTTAAAGATATTTTATTTGGGAACTGGTCTTTGCGTGTGCATGTAAGCCTTACGTGTCAAATTAACTCCAACCTGAGCGACGGTGATCGCATGTTGTGTGTAGGTTGTAAAGGTCTGCATACGCATTTCGAGATATACTGGTATCAACGAGATGTGTTTGAACCAGTAGCATTAGACAAGGAGATGGATGTTTGGTGACAAAACGGCAGACCATATAGCTCGTTGGGCGTCTTTGGGAACGGGTAAAATGTAATTTTTCTATCTGTAATACGCGTTTCATTATCGACTATGCCACATTTCGATTGCGCCATGTTTTTAAAAACTTGGAGCTCGTACCATAGCATAGCATACATGAACTTCTTAGCTCTTAGCTGTCCACAGATTTGTCTGCGCTATACTGCCAAACCTGGCTGTTTTGTGAGTGTGGGAGATGTAAAGAGACGATCCTTTTGCTGACACAAAAACACCGAGCTTCACTCGTTTAAATAACCCAGGCTTCATCTCCAGAACAAAACGCATGCGCATGGCTTGTCCATTGTCAGCCAGTTTCACTCCCTCCATTCTCAGTTGAATAACCAACTGCTGTGTCAAGAAAAAAAAAGGTACTCCACCAAAATGGTAATCGCGGGGTTTTAAGACGGAGATGGCGCCAACGCCTTTTAAAGAGCAGGCGACCTGTCTGGCTGACGCCGACGACGCTTTGCTGAGGGAAGTCCTCGGCCGGGCGGGGGCAGGCAGAGGCCAGCCTCTCCTCGGCCGGTGCATTCACAATGAAACAAGGGCCATGTTTGTGTGTTGAATTATTTCACATTCCCCCAAAGCCCCTGCGCCCTCACAGGTAGTGCACTGAGCGCTCGTAGAGCCGCTTTCGAATGGCGGCAGCCCCTTTCCATTTTAACTGAGTAACAATGAAAGAAAAGCCTCTCGGAGCGGCGTCGGCTCACTCTCAATGGATGTAAAATACACAGGCGGTGGCGAGTTTAAAGAGAATCCAAGGCGTGACAACGAAAGTCGCCGTGACACGGGTGTTGTATTTGCATCAGGCCATGCTGTTTTCACATCAAAGTAACTGGGAAAAAAGCAATCAAGTAAGACAAGCTGGCTTGTACAGTCAAGGAAAAAAACGACTTAAGTGTATTTCACAGAACCAATTATATGTGTGAACTTTTTTATAGAATAACATGTAAAGCGTTAAAATAGCAAAAAAAACTGGAGTCGCTGTAGTTGGTTTTCCAGAATCGGAGTAAGGAGCATGTAACAGATTACCAAGACCGTCCCAGGTGCATGCAGGTCCCGATGCTTGACTATACCCCTCCCCTCGACAAGACATAGCACACACAGCTCAGTGAACAGGTAGAAGAAGTATATGAAGCATGGTGTAGCGTTCTTGGCTGCTTTGAGTTGTTTACCTGTCGCGCTTGTCCAGTTGGTGTGTGGTGTGTGGAGCAGCATGGGGGGGAATCAAAGCGGCTGTTGACTATGCTAATTTGGGGAGGGCCTGTGCCAGCTGTTCATTACAGAGCCTGCTCCAGCCCTTGCACTTCCACCATTAGAGGGGGAGCACCTCAGGAGCGCGAAACAGACAGGCCAGCCCACAGCTTCAATAAAAGTAGTTTTTTCGTGAGGGCGGGAGGCACAACTTCACTGGAGGTGAGAAACAAGACTAAGGCGATACCTTGCATACTCAATATCACCTCAGAAACCCATGAAAATTTGCTTTGGAAATTTAACTGATAACATGTAAATTGATGAAGATTGCGCAGGTAAGGGGGCCTCCTCTTTGATTTCTTAGATTCCATTCTCAGTTAATCTCTGGTGTTGGGTAAAAAATCTGATCTATGGGTAATATTTTATGGATATGATGTATTGTTTGATCCAAAATATGCTCATTCTTTTGACAAACTGTCGTGGCACGAGCATTTAATTCAACTGCAGGATGAATAGAATGGTACGTTTTAGTTAATGTTTCAGTTAGCTTCCTCTTTTTGTGGGGGTGTTTGTGTAGAGTCAAATTAGAGCGAAGAAGTGGAATAGCATTATAAGAACGAATGGCGCACATTAATGAATAATAATAAACATTACTATCTATTATACATAGTTATGCTGACATTTGTGGCAGATAACATGTGTTTTGAATAATATATATTATGAAATATGATGACTACTATTAGTTGCATGAGTAAAATCAGTACCTGCCTGAGTATATTTATATTTTTCTGTCTTTAAATTCACATAAAGAATATATCACATATTAAACAGGCATGAAGAAACACTTAACATTCAATGTACCATCACTACGCATGCTTTAATTTAAGAAATAATAATTAAACTAAACACACATGTAAGCGCTCAACCGACAGCCTGCTTTATTCACTGCTTTACAAATGGACATGGACATTTACCCTTCAGTTTTAGCATCTCGGCAATGTTGGAGCAGTTAGATTCTTGCGTGTTCGTGCCATTAATTGGTGCGAGTGCCGCATACACTGTGCGTGCATTGTTGTTATGGACATATGACAGAAACGTTTTGCAGTAATATTCAGGGACTTGTTTTGGGAGTGGAGAAGCAGGTACCGGACGGTTTTTTTTCCAAGCGATAAAGACTGCCGGAACAGGAAACACAGAAAGCTCGTCACCTCTGCGCTGCTCATGTTTTGTGGTGATCGGTTTTAATTCACATGCAGGTGATCGCGTGCAGGAACAAAAATGTTCCAATCGAAGTTCCGGCTCACAACCCGTTGTTTCTAATTTGAAAATACGTGATGTGAGCAGGAAGGGGGGAGTGGGATTTCGTAGGTTTTTAGCCGCGCGTAAGAAAAGTGGTTTAGCAGCGGCCGGATCCGGAGCGGCCTACTCTTAGACTTTGGGGGATGTTTATTTTTCTCCTTCGTTTCCGGTCACGAAGTTAAAAGGTGAGCCGGTGTACTCGTGGGGTTTGGAGTCAGGAGGAACTGGTTGGGATTAATTCGGCGGAGACAGAGGAGAGAAAGGAGACCCATTGGAGGAAGCTCGCTGTCGGAGTCGTGAGGGTAAAACCAAAGGGACCAGTGGTGAGAAATGAGCCGGTCGAATGCCCCATAGCGTCGTCTGCCTGGATTGTTCACCCCAGTTCAGCAGGTGGCGAATTTGTTTCCTTCCATGGCTTCATTGCTTTCCCTGATCTGTCGTCCACCTCCTTCGATCCGTATCGTCTTTCTTTCACTTTTGCGCATTTGGCCCTGAACCCTTTTAAAATCCCCCCCCCCCCCCTCGTCTTCCTCCTCCCTCCCCAACTCCCTTCGCGCTCTGATTCGCAGAGGGAGTGAATG